GTGAAAAAATCGAGTGCACCAAAGAAAAGGAAACTCAAGATTGAAATGGATCACAAGAATCCTGAATTCCACCGTATACCGAAATCCCTTGTTTTTTGTTGAGAGAAACTTTCAAAGATTTCATGTCCTTAAGGCCCGAAACGCTGCCTTATAAGATGTTGAATGGTCTCGTTTAACAGAAATGACAGAAAAATGTTGGGGTCACTCAAAGCTTGTCCATAGAACCGCGCGAAATCATCAATGGCAAAGCCTAGACCAAAAATGCTGTTGCCTAGTCTCGGAACCACAGCGATCGATGAAGCACGCATTTGAAAGACCTCTATCCTCTGAAGAGGGCCAAAACACAGTTGGCGTGGACACTGCTATCGGTCGTCATAGCTTAGAATAAAAGATTACAAATTCGTTATTAGAGCACATGCATCATCTTTGTACTGAACAGTATTCAACGCTTTTCATTCGTTGACTACCATGTTGTCAGAGGGGACAAGGACTATGCAGACCTGCACGGCTCATCAGCTTCAGATTGTTTTCTTCACCGAAAACTTTTTCATGCTGGTTGTGAGACATTAAGCGCTTCATGACACATTCGCCTCTCATTAGACATATAGAAATACACATTTATGTGAAATCATTCACAATATCTTGTTGTTTTCGAGAGAAGGCAGTGTAAAGTGCATCTGAACAGGTGCTGATATGAAAGCAGAGTTGTAAACAATGATGAAAACAAGAGAAAACTCAAGATCACAATAGTAATAACACTTCCAATGGATCACAGAGGCAAGAGAATCACGTCCTTTGATAATACCATTTTTTAGCTGCGTACTCTTAGAACTGCTGCACTCGGCGACGCCTTTCGTTAACTGGAGCTTTTGTACGATCAATAGTCTCATCGAAGAATCTGAATCATAAGAGTTCACAGTACCATTCAATGAATAATGAATATTTTGCACGAAAGAGTAAAGTGCAGTTTCTTCAAAAAGTTAGGCGCCTTTCACTCAGAGGGGTGGGGGCGGGCCAAGTAGCCCAGAACAGTTGAATCACTGTCATCAGGACTGTTCTCACTGGACCAAAGCAGTCCTCGATCAAACCTAGGATCGATGGTATACACGTAGAACGAACAAATCAGTTTTGCACCATCAAAGTGTCTAACGGAGGCTGATGCTATTATTCCAGGGCTACAGTTGTGTATGGAGAACTCGCGCAGCGCCAGCAAATCTGTATTGTAAGATCCTAGTATCTGAAAATGAGTAAAAGGACCCTATGTTGTCTTCCTTGGATATATAAACTTCTATTTAATGTTAACCAGCGATGGAGAGAGAACTGCGAAGTAGGACACCACAACTGGCTCCACCAAATCGACAACCTTTCCCTTCCAAAGTCTTCCGTTACATGGCAGAAGGTGTTGGCAACCACGAAAAATCTTTTCGCATTTCAACCCCGAACATAAGTGCTTCTCAGATACATAATGGGAGTAAACGCACAACGCATTTCACATGTTCTGGTCAGCGTCCCTTTCCCTGATCATGGAACAGTGCCTCCTTATTTTGAAACTTTTCGAACATGCCCTCAATTAGCAAATCTGTCCATGGCTGGTGGGAGGGTGCTGAGCATATGCTGACTGGCACGAACGGGAACGCTGAAGGCGATCACAATTTATAGGATATTTATGAACCAAAACCCAAATGCCTTCTTCCAGGTTTTAGCAGTTTAGCAGCTTAGGCTAGTGAACCGAAAACCAAAAATTATTGGTATTCCAAAATTGATACTGATTCAGTTTTCAACTGCTTCTATCGCCATTGTTGCGGTGTTACCACAACAAGGTTTAAGTTCGAGTTGGGCAGCCCTTCTAAGCCGGGTGCTCTCATTATACCTCAGCGATCGTGCGCTAATATGCGCTTTGCTGGCTGCAGTGTAAAACATGAGTTAGGAAAACAGCCACGGGCAAGCTTTTTATTCCTACTAGCATACATTCCTTACTGTCGTACTGAAATTCTGTTAAAATAAGCTCAGATGTCTAATATAATGAAAGAAATATGGGGAATTTCAAAAAATCCTCATACCGAGCTAATGCCATACTTGCGGTAGAACCAGGCGGAATTGGGCGCAAACAGTTTATATTCATTCTGGAAAGAAGGAATTTCAGGACATACAGCAAGAAAAGTGAAAAAAAATTGAGAATGAAATAAATACTATAAGTGTGTGGAGTGGAACCTGTCGTAGGCAGAAGGACCTCTGTGAGGCGCAAGGTCCAGCTTGCAGCCTACCGTTAGTATTGGAATGTGACAGGATTCAACGTCTGCCATTAGTGGTCGCGTACCCGAAGACCCACTTGGACGCGGTTTACCATCCAGTAATGAGAGCCATTGAGATAGATTCTAAAACTAAATTTCAGACTCCGCTCAAAGGACATTGGTGTTCGAGATCACCTCTTCGCTTTTTTTGTTGCTCAAATCGTGCACTAGTATCGCACCTGCAGCACCATCAAGGAAAACCACGGAGGCGGCACGGTGAGCACCCGATCCGCCAATATCCCATAATTCCATCAGCTCAGATCGTTGCTCTGAGGTACCTGAAATTGCAATGAATCAAAGGGGGTCTTGAAACGGTAACGAATACCGATGCACTATGACATTATGACCAACAGTTGCTTTGCCTCATCAGTGTCAAATAAAATCTGGCTCACAGAGTATCTTCATGAGAAAGTAAGCGAACAACGACCCAAAAACAAGCAGTCACCATGAAGGCTTTATAGAGGTCCTTACTGCTAGCATAGCATCCCGAACGAAATTACGTTTCGTCGCTATACAAATACGAATGCGAGCGCACAAGTGAGAAGTCTGGATCACTGCCAAATGATTTTTCGCCCCATTCCCACGTTCTAGTAGCTCATTCTGAGGACTCCCCACTCGGACAAAGGGGATTGAAAAACATGATGTCCCCTGTTCAGACGAGATGGCTGCAGATGAACGGGGGATAATTCTTGGCGCGGTGCCAAGCCCGTTCTCCAGGGTTGGAGCGAGCAATTGTCAAGACTGTATCATATCGTTCGTATCACTCGTTTTCTTCCAACTGTTGCCGCATACCCGCTTCAACAACTGGCAGAGAACTGGTTTGGCGCTGTGGCACACGCATAACTGCCTGAACCACATCCGCTTCTTGTATCCCACAGTTAACTACAGTATACGCCCATTGAATGATATCAGGTGATTGGTGGTGACGTCCGTTCCTCCAAGTGGTGCCACCGGGACCTGCTCGCTTTTGCGGGCTGAGCAGAACACGGACAAACCGACAGCAGGCGACAGGCCTTCGTGACGGGCCGGCTTACGAACACCCCATGTCACATCATTATGTTCAACTATGCCTTATGAATTTCGAGATAATGCTACGGCGTCCGCGGGAGCCGACGCGCACTCGCAAGGCCCGACGAGTGTGAAAAATATGCGAGGGTCCTCGTTGCAAGGACGGCATCGGGGGCAACCAGGCTAGTCCGAAAGACGTGCAATGTGTTGAAGGCTCGTATTGCGACGCTGAATGTGGGGACGCTGACTGGACGCTCGTATGAGTTAGCAGAAGCCCTAGAGCGTAGAAAGATCGACCTCTGTGCCGTGCAAGAGACGAGATGGGCTGGCTGCAAGTCGAAAGAGTTAGGCCGCGGCTTCAAAGCCGTTCTTTGTGGCGGGCCGAAAACTACAAGTGGTGTGGCCGTGATCGTGTCTCAGCGATTTCGCGATACGATTGTGAGCGTAGATCGTTTCGACGACCGTTTAATGAAGATTGTTGTCGCTATTGAACAACGACTTTACCACTTCTTCTCTGCATATGCCCCACAAACTGGATGCTCTGAGCAGTCCAAGGACGAGTTCTGGGCTCTGCTGGACGAGAAGACGGCTGAAGTGCCACCAAAAGACGGTATCATTGTAGCCGGCGATTAAACGGACACGTGGGCGCTGCAAAAGACGGCTATGCTTGTCATGGCGGATTCGGTTACGGTTCACGGAACGCCGATGGTGAGCGAGTCCTTGAGTATGCAGAGTCGCATAATCTCGTCATTCTGAACACAAGGTTTCGTAAACGTGACTCTCCATCTCATCACGTTCTACAGCGGGAGTACCAAGACACAAATAGACTTCGTACTCATCAGGCATGGCGACCAAGGACTCGTGACAGACGCTAAGGTAGTACCGTATGAAACGGTTGCCACGCAGCACCGCCCACTGATCTGCACGCTCAGACTTGTAGCTCCCAGATCGAGGCAGGCAGAACGATGCGGTCCTGAAAGAATAAAGTGGTGGCGACTGAAAGAGCGGGAGGCAGCTGTGATTTCTCGTATTCGACTACCTGAAGTCACAACTGTTCAGGAGACCTGGAACGAAGCCGTTAATTCTATAATCCAGGCCGCCCGCTCCGAACTCGGCACAACGAAGCCTGGACGGCGGAGGATTGACAAAGAGGCATGGCTCTGGACGGACGACGTCAAAGCGAAGGTTCGAGAAAAGAAGAGGCTCTATCACGCGTTTCTCGAGCACAAGTCGGCTGACAACTGGCGGCAGTATCGGGAAGCGAGGAATGTGGCAAAGACGGCCGTGGCTGCTGCGAAGGCCGCTCACTTCGATGATATCAGCAAGAAGCTGGAGACGCGCGACGGTGAGCGGTACCTGTACGGACTTGCCAAATCTCGTCATCGCCAAACCGAAGACATTGAGAAGTTTTTTGGCATAAGTGATGAGAATGGCCACCTTCTGATGGACCGAAAAAGGGTATTGCAACGATGGCGTGAATACTTCGAGGGCATCTCAACGGTCGCCCATCCCGCTATACCCTGTACCGCACCAACATATGGTCCCGTTCAGAAGATCACCGTACAGGAAACAGAAGCTGCTCTGAGGAAGATGAAGGCCGGCAAAGTTACAGGCCCCGACGACATAGCAGCTGATTTGTGGAAGTCACAACGCTGGTTTTCTGCGGGTTGGTTGACGAAACTCTTCAACCAGATCGTCGAAGAGAAGAAGGTGCCCAAGGACTGGCAGCAGAGCGTGACGATCCCGATTTGGAAGAAGAAGGGCAGCCCGGCAGATTGCTCGAACTATCGTCCAATTCGCCTTCTCTCGCACACTATGAAAATCTGAGCGAATTGTTGACGTCCAGCTTTCCACCAATCAGTGTGGCTTCGTGGCGGGTTGTAGCACCGTCGACGCCATACATGCCGCTCGCCTATTGCTGGAGAAACACCGTGAGAAGCGAAAGCCCGTGCATGTAGCCTTCTTAGACCTGGAGAAGGCATTCGATCGTGTGCCGCGTGATGTTATATGGTTGAGGCGGCACGGCGTGCCCGAAGAGCTAATTGAGTGGGTGCGCATCCTTTACTCATGCCCAGGGAGCCAAGTTCGCTCACCAGCGGGTGTCTCAATGGAGTTCCCCATCACCGTCGGGGTACATCAAGGCTCTGCGCTCTCCCCACTTCTTTTCGTTGCCGTCATGGATGCCATCTCACGAGATCTTCAGAAGGAAGTGGGACCCTGCTTTACGCTGATGATGTGATGCTTGCTTGTGAAGATAAGAGCGCACTGGAACAGCAGGTGCAAGCTTGGGCCGAGCGTCTGGCGAAGTTTGGACTCAGGTTGAACGTCAACAAGACCGAGTACCTGACAACCGACCCAAATGAGCCGGGCTCCATTAAGATCGATGACACGGTGCTCAAGCGCACGGAAACATTCAAGTATCTCGGATCAGCACTTGCGTCCGATGGCAGTCTGAACTCGGAAGTGAGCGCACGAGTGAGTGCGGCATGGTCTAAATGGCGATCCATGTCTGGGATCCTTTGCGACAAGAAAATGCCAGAGCGTTTCAAGTCAAAGATCTATCGTACTGTCGTCCGACCTGTCGCGTTATATGGTGCCGAGTGCTGGCCCGCGACCAAAGAAGTTGAGGCTCGCCTTGGTGTGATGGAGATGAAGATGTTGCGCTGGACGGCGGGCGTCACGCGATCGGACCGCATCTGTAACGATGTCGTGCGCAAGAAGTATGGTGTAGCCCCCATAGCGGAGAAAATGCGTGAAACGCGCCTTCGATGGTACGGGCGTACTTCGCGGGAAGGCTTGACACCTGTCCGGAAAAACTGCTCTCCGATCGACTCAGGTACCAGTAAAGCACAAAGGGCGCAGTCAAACGGCGCTGGGTTCGACACGTTGAATTTACCACTTTTAAAATAGCGTATTCACCGCGATCAGGATCCAGTCTGTTGGGAAAAGTGGCGTAGTTGTATCAAAAGAGCGGACCCAGCGATCGAGTGGGACAAACGCTGAAGAAGAAGAAGAAGAAGAATGATATTAGGGTGATTGCTGCTCAGTAAGAGAGCGTGGGACTGAAACATACTGACAGAAGGACTGCAAGCAACAAACCTGCCTTATACTCGTGCCAGACCATAGCTACTGAGGCACCTATCGTACTCGATGAATCGGCACTGGGACTGAAATGTAATATTTGAAGATGCTAAGGAAATCGTACGTCAAGCTGCGGTCATAAACTGCGTTAGCGTACGCCGGCGTGCACCTGCATTTTGAGCGACTACGAAAGTATGTATGTCGATCTAGCCTATGCCAGCGTTTTCGTGGGCAGTTTTGCTCAGGCTCAAATTGCCTGCGAAAACGCTGGCGTACGCTGGTATACGCTGTGGGACGCTCGAAACGTTAGGTCGATATCCATACTTTTCTAGTAGCTCTAAAAGATGAAGCAAAGTATGACCGCAGATAATGAACAGGTCAAAAGGATTCACACCATGCTTGCAACAAAAGAAATGGAATATGCATAGACCCACTTTCCGCATATGGCATTGACGAACGATGTTTTCCCTACACCACTCTCTCCTACTACTACAATTTTTGTAGATGACATTTGACAGGATTCTGCAAAGCACACAGATAGAAAAATGAAAGCACAAAATTAGAAGGGAATAGGACGGCTCAAACCCACCGGTCACGTGAACAAAACAAAAAGGTTGTGGAGATGTTGCATGAAAAACCGCCGTTCAAACCCTATGCAGTATCCAGTTGCGCTTTTGAAACCTCAAGACAAAGGGAGCACGAAGCGCATTCAAAAATACCAACGTCGACAATCTTTTGGATCTAGAACATAGCAACAGCTCACGACCTAAGAAAAGCTCTATGGCGTCACGCACCTCTTCGGAAGCAATACTATAATAATCTCCACAACGGCAAGGCTCTACTATCGGATCTGTGTCGTCGGAACCAATCTCAATTCGCTCCGCTACAGTGCCTTTTGTCTCTCGATATTGCTGTTCTCGAAGCCAGCAATCGTATTCACGACGCTTGTTCGTATCCTGAGTACATTTCTTGTTCAGTAAATTGTAAACCAAAGACTATGAGAGACTACCTTGAGTGTGGTCCAAATAAAGGTAGCGTAATCTATAGAATCTTCACTTTTCGCAGCACCTGCAGACTTGTCGGGATGGATTCTTCTCAGGTAGTCGAAATACGCACGTTTTACTTCCTCAGCACTAGCACATGCACTTACTTCTAGAATATCGTAAAAACTACGCATATTCCATTCTACCTAGAATGAACGCCACAGGAAATTCCATCCTACATTCACTGTCCATCTTCAGAAGCTCGGTTGCAATTATTTCCTATGGCTAACTAAAAACTTTTTCTGCAAGACCCACACAATGAAACAGATCAAATACTGCGCTACACGCAGGAATTTCTGAAACCATTTGACGTCACTACAACGACAACACTCAAAAAACTCTGAATTTATTATCGACGTAGAATTTCACAAGTGATACGCATTTTGAAATCATCAGCGTTCAGAACAATGTGTAAACCGATGATAAAAATCGGTACAGCGTAGCACTTATACCACTTTTGTTCAAATTCAACACATTCCGGATCAAACTTCACACTTTTCAGATCGAACTCGGAAATTTTCAATCAATCTCAGTAACCAGTATGAGCACAATCAACGTCGGACTGTTGATCCTTCTTCGAAAAAAGAAAACAGTATATATTTCTGCAAAACACTTTTTATGTCTGGTCTTCAACTTTGCTAAAACGTTCAAGATCGTGTACACAGCCAGCTACATGTCCCAACCTTCAAGCCGCAAGAAGTGCCCGCTCAATCCGACTTAAAAGGCAATGAATTAATTGAAAAGTGGTGAAATCCGGTTCGAAAAGTGTTAAATTTGATTAAGAACTCTTGAATTCAAGGTGAAAATGGTATGTTAAGAATAGAGATCTGCTGAAGTGTACATTTCCTCACTATATACAACTAACTGCCTTGGAAGCATATTTGACTGCATAACAAGAACAGTATTTCTCGAACGAATCTGGGCAGGCACCATCGTAAAAACGAACCTACATATAAAAAATGACGATGTCATTTTAAATCACATATATAGTGTAGACAAGGGTAAATCAATCAACCATTTCGAGGCTGCACAGAGGTACAGCTGGTTTGATTGGATATCTATCTTGTTCTTCACGGTAAGGACGTACTACATGATGACTACCACTGGATTCATTAGCAGGGCGTTCGCGGTGTAGAACGACTTTGTAGCTAACCTGAATGCTGTATATTAGAATTTCAATAATGGCAGAGGAGTTCTAAAGAAATCAGAACGAATGTAACACCACAGTTTCTCGTTTTCCACATCCTGCCAACGAAACACTCGGGCAAAGGCCGCTCAACAACGACACACCACTGGCACACTCAACCCTTGCACTATGTTTCTCTTCTCCGCCGATTTTTTTCTCATACAAGACTCACAAGGGAACGGTTTCAACTTCCCATGGAACTTTGAATGGAGACCTAGGTACATCGATAGAGCCTCGAATGCTGATTACGAATATGCAGATTAAAAGTGCTACGGGGACCTCCCAGACGAGATCTGGGTGGTCAAAGTTTGCGAAAACTCAGTTTTGGCTCGTAAGCGCTGCTGATCGATGGCTAGGCAGTGCCACCGTGGCCTAGTGGTAACGGTCTCGCTTCAAAGGCAAATGCTTGTGGGTTTGCATCCCGTTGGCGCGAAAGTTTTTGCTTCGTCTTCTATGAAAGCTAAAATTCTTCCGAGTTGACCAGATCAAGTAGATCAAGTAGATCAAGCATGTGATGTATTCGATCGAGTATGGATTTGGTCACTATCTGCCCTCTCTGAACTCATTACCCATCCGACAATTCGAAGTTTCGGCCACTGATTCCTGAGGGTAATTTGACCCCTGGACACGAATATCACATTCGCTTGACCAGAAAACGCTTGATTTCACGTCACTGTTATCATCAACTGAACGAGGGAACCGATCGTTTCCGCGTCAAACGGGTTCAGGGGGTCAAAGTTCCCCAGGAACAATTCCTGGCCAAATTGTGGTTCTGGCCAAAACTTTCGAATTGTCGAATGGTTAATGTTCAGAAGGGCAGGTACGATCGAGTACGTCATATACCTAATCTACTTGATCTACTTGCTCTGCTGGGTCGTAAACTCGGGAGAATTTTGAAAATTAGAGTGAAAGCTTCCATAGGAGACGAAGCAAAAATCTTCGCGCCAACGTGATGCAAACCCACCATCATTCGCCTTTGAAGCGAGACGGCTACCACTAGGCCACGGTGGCACTGCTTAGCCATCGATCAGCAGCTCTTACGAGCCAAAACTGAGTTTTCGCAAACTTTGACCGCCCAGAACTCGTCTGGGAGGTCCCCGTAGCACTTTTAATCTGCATATTCGTAATCAGCATCCGAGACTCTATCGATGTACCTAGGTCTCCATTCAAAGTTCCATGGGAAGTTGAAACCATTCCCTTGTCAGGTCAATTTATATATACCTCGTAGTAACACCGCCCATCCCAAGATTGAGATGATGTCCAACTTTGTATCGCGCCTCTGCATTGTGAAGCGATGGCATCCATGAGGTGCTCAAAAACAGGCAAGGACCCCGCAGTAACATTGCTGTACAATTTTGATCTTACACGCCTCTTTATAAAGAGGCGTGTTATAAAGAGGAAGCCCAATTTGAAAAAAAAATGACAGAACTTTCCCGCCAACCTAATAATTTACTAGAAAATGTTTTAGGAAAGTATTAGTCATCAAATCTGGCTTATTGGCGCGAATCGAATTTTTTCATTTTCTAGACCACCAGCCGGCTGGCGCCGGCGCGCCTCCTGAGATACAAAACGGCTCCGCTGAGCGGGCGCGGCTCCGCCCGCTTATCTTCTTCCACACCGGCTTTTTTTTAAATTGAACAGATGGTCAACATTTTTTGACCAATAGCACGTTCATATTCCACACATACCTGCTATTTTCAACACTATTATGGTGTTTGGAATGGTAAAAAGGAGCGTTGATCAAGTGGACAGATGAGAGAAAAGCCGGGTATTAGTCGAGCATTTGATCATACGAATGCAGGCAGGCGCGATGGACCACGCCCCGCAAGGCCGGGCCGTATCACGGGGGAGGCCTGGAGTGCTCTGGAACCGCTTGAAGAAACCTTAAGGCCGGCCATGCCTACCTCGACGCACGTTCCACCCACAACGAGAATACCTATCACCTGTGAAATGGTAAACCCTCGATGACCTACTTTTTCCCGGTATCTGGAGTATTCAGGAACCGTTTCAGGAATTTTCAAAATTGGCCCTGCCCACCTCGCCGCACGCTCCGCCCACAGCGGGTGTGCCTCACACTTGTGAACCGGTGACCCCTCTCTGATCTCAAACTGCTTTTTCCTGGTGTCTGGAGTGTTCGGGAGCCGTTTTCGAAATTTACTAAATTTGGCTCCGCCCACCTCGCCGCACGCTCCGCCCACAACGTATGCCTCGCGCTTCTCAACCGAAGACCTCGCACCTGAATCTTAAATATTTTTTCCCGGTTCTGGAGGTGCTCCTGGAAGACGCTTCTACGAACTTTTTGTAGGACTGACTCGCCCGCCGTCGGGTGCACGCTCCGCCCACAATGCGAGTGCCTCGCAAATTCCTGCATGTGATCACTCGGGGCCATAATCCACTTTTTTTGCCATCTGTAGTGCTTTAGGACCAAACTACGGTTTTTTATACTGGTATCCTCGTGTTCAAATGCACGCCCCGCCCACTGTGGGCGGGCCTCAGAATGCCATGTTCATCTTCGTCATGTACTTTTCTGCGATCTCTAAACATTTTCGGGAACCCAGATTTTTATGGAAAGCGCCGCCCATCTCAAGCACGCTCCGCTCCATTTCGGTTGTGTCTCCTTTGTTTTCAGCCATTTGCTAACTTTACTGCACTGTTCCCTCATCTGGGTAATGCTCTGGAACCGAGTTATGATTTTTTTTCCAATGACATCGCTAATGCTCTGGAACCGAGTTATGACTTTTTTCAGTGACATCGCTAACTTTCGACGCACGCCCCGCCCACTGTGGGCGGGGCTTACCATGGGTCATGGGTGCTATTTAGGTTTTGTCCCATGCTCTATCCATCTCCACCCCAACCCCTCCAAGTCCTTCTTCAGGTGCTATGAATTTCGTGACAAACGGACAGACGCACAACACGGACGTAGCCGATTATATGTACTAGGATTATGCATTAATCAGTCCGATCACCGGTTGACGCCGGCGCGCTTTCTAGTGTAGTATTGCACGGCTTCACCGCACGCACCCTCTTTCTTGCGTTTCGGTAATGAACTAATGCCCACCTTTTCTTTTATCTATACATATGCTCTACTCTACAATCGATAGCATCACACCTGCTAATTACATGGAATAGCAGTAAGGAGCGTTGATCAAGTGCACAGATGAGATAGCCGGGTGTCAGTTGGGTATTCATACATGAAAGAAGACATGCGCGGCGAAGCGGAGCCGCATCACAGAAGCAGTCACACCGGCATCTTCCGGCGAGGCGACAGATCAAAGATTTGGTATCAAGTACACTGTAGTTCGCTGCGGACGGTGGGGCGTGTCAGCCAGTATGAGTGTGCACAGCAACAAAGCCGTTCTCTGCCTTCTTGTTGAAGGCGACAAAAAGTGGTAGAAAACGAGTAATACGAAGGATATGATACAGTATTGTCACTTGCCGCTTCAACAACTGGTGGAGAACGAGTTTGGCACCGCGCCAAACGCAGCCGCACTGACACGCCCAACCGTCCGCAGAGAACTACACTATAAGCCTACTACATTCGGTGGTCTGCCTATGCACTGAAACTCAGCAAGATTGGGTACCTCCGCTCACTGTGGGCAAGTCCAACAACCACTGGCACACTCAACCCTCGCACTATGTTGGTCGCCAGGTAGGCGGGGCGTGCATTTGAACACGAGGTACCAGTATAAAAAACCGTAGTTTGGTCCTAAAGCACTACAGATGGCAAAAAAGTGGATTATGGCCCCGAGTGATCACATGCAGGAATTTGCGAGGCACTCGCATTGTGGGCGGAGCGTGCGCCGAGGTGGGCGGAGCCAGTCTAAAAAATTCGTAAAACGCTTCCAGAGCACTCCAGACACCGGGAAAAATAGTTTAAGAGGGTCTTCGGTTGAGAAGCGCGAGGCATACGTTGTGGGCGGAGCGTGCGGCGAGGTGGGCGGAGCCAAATTTAAAAAATTTCGCAAAACGGTTCCAGAACACTCCAGACACCGGGAAAAAGTAGTTTGAGATCAGCGAGGGGTCATCGGTTCACAAGTGTGAGGCACACCCGCTGTGGGCGGAGCGTGCGGCGAGGTGGGCAGGGCCAATTTTAAAAATTCCTGAAACGGTTCCTGAATGCTCCAGACACCGGGAAAAAGTAGGTCATCGAGGGGTCACCGGTTCACAGTTGTGAGGCATACCCGTTGTGGGTGGAACGTGCGTCGAGGTGGGCATGGCCGGCCCTAAGGTTTCTTCAAGCGGTTCCAGAGCACTCCAGGCCTCCTCTGTGATACGGCCCGGCCTTGCGGGGCGTGGTCCATCGCGCCTGCCTGCATTCGTATGATCAAATGCTCGACTAATACCCGGCTTTTCTCTCATCTGTCCACTTGATCAACGCTCCTTTTTACCATTCCATACCATAATAGTGTTGAAAATAGCAGGTATGATGTGGAATATGAACGTGCTATTGGTCAAAGAATGTTGACCATCTGTTCATTTAAAAAAAGCCGGTGTGGAAGAAGATAAGCGGGGCGGAGCGCGCCGCGCTCAGCGGAGCCGTTTTGTATCTCAGGAGGCGCGCCGGCGCCAGCCGGCTGGTGGTCTAGAAAATGAAAAAATTCGATTCGCGCCAATAAGCCAGATTTGATGACTAATACTTCTAGTAAATTATTAGGTTGGCGGGAAAGTTCTGTCACTTTTTTTCAAATTGGGCTTTCTTTTTATAGAGAGGCGTGTAAGATCAAAATTGTACAGCAATGTTACTGCGGGGTCCTTGCCTGTTTTTGAGCACCTCATGGATGCCATCGCTTCACAATGCAGAGGCGCGATACAAAGTTGGACATCATCTCAATCTTGGCTTGAACTCAGACTTTTCGAGGTTTTCTCGTAATTTCTCGTCCAGTAATGATTGATTACGGGAGGCAACTCGCAGTTAGAAGGAGCAATGTCTGTGCTACACCACTGCAAGGGGAGAGCCATCCAGCTCTATTGCATGAGGAACGGCTAGAACTTTTTTGGAAGTGCGCTGCACTATCAGAAGCATTTGGAGGGGTCGGTGGCGATGGTAGCGGATAACATTCTTGTCCATATTGCAGAAGAAGAAGCAGGAATCAAGCGAGTGGTACTAATAGAAAGACCACTCTTTGATGTATAAGTGCTCACATTACCGTTCACCCCTCTTCAGGTAATGGACAAATATTTTGAGTTCGAAAAAGTGACAGAACTTTCCCGCCAACCTAATACTTTATTTAGGTACGTAAACCATAACTCATTCGACACGTTCGCCTCAATCAACCTGTGCCGAAGTAGAGGAAATCCCTTTCTACACGTATACCAGCACCTTGCTGATCGAAATCATATGCGTGAGAAATACCCTGAAGTCTCGTACACAATCCGTGCAGCGTTGCGATCGCCGTGAGTGCGAACACTAGTGGGACAGTGCAAGCTAAAACCACTTGTTATTACCAGAAAAGAGTTTCTAGAAGAGCTCCACAAGCTGCCCGTTCCCTGCAATGCTTTTTCCGAATGTCATATTCTAGGTCACAAATTGCCCCCCAAGAATATGGCCAAGAGTAACCGCACGAACTTCGAATCACCAATTTCTCAACCAGAGGTACTCCAGCAAGAAAAATATGGCAAAATAAACTTGTGTTAAGGAGAATCTTCATGACTAACAGCAAAACATGGATGTCAACATAACATTTGCTCTTTAGCGCACTCACATTAGCGTATTGCTTCAAACAGGGGCAAGCGTCCAGAAGAGCTGTGCAGAAAGGTTGACGAAGACCAAACCACCAAACGTTACCGCCTCCGTGTACACATGACATGAGTACAAGGCAGAGTAAAGAAACGAGAAGAGGAGAGAATACGGCCTGTAAAATAATAGAAAAGCTCGCTAATATTATGAAAATGAAAAAAAGAAAAAACGAAGAAACATATAACTGCGAAAAGGCGAATTATTGCTGCAGGGAAGTGACCACTGTGTCCACTATTGGCCCTGTCCTACACTGAGAGAACTCAAAACCCTCCTTAAAACAAAGGAGTTATCCGGCGCACTTTGTCGACCGGGGGGGGGGGGGACATTCCGCTTTTCATAAATGTGCGACCCATCTAGGTAGCCTTTCGAGTTGACACGTTTTAGGATGGTGGCTAGACGATCTTACTCCAGCTTCACAGGCGTTCACAAGTTTTACCATGGTGAGATTCGTAAACCGGAACTAGGGAAGCAATGTTAGTACAAAATGCCCCCCCCCGTCGCTAAACAGCGCCGAGTTATCCTAAAAGGAAACCGTTTAAACTAACCGTATAAGACATATCAGCTGCAGGATCATTATCGCCCCATTCTGTTGCATCAAGTTTTCCAGTTAACAGGACCATACAAATGAGCGCAGGTACTACGAGACAAGCATGGAAAAGAGCAGAAGTGACGTGCTGCCTTCGATGCGAAGGTACGAGATGACGCGATCGAGCTAATACAATGGAAAGGACGAGAGCGTACAACACTCCAACTGCTGACAAAGACAATACCACCCATAGTGGGATGAAGACAACAGCCCATGACCAGTCCACCTGCAGAAAAAAAAATTCACAGCATCGAAAATTATTGCGTATGAATAACTCACTAAATCATCAAGTTTGAAGGCAAGGAAAAACAGCTGCACTATATTGATCGCGAAGAACAATTCGAACTAAAAAATGCGATTATAGGGAAAGAATCTCAACAAGGAATAATAAACCTACTTCGAATGACTTATCTCTTCGCATCGCCCACACTACCAGGCCAATTGAAGCAATAGATAAAGCAAATAACGGAGAAAAGACAATTATCCAGTGAAGCTCGAGGTTGTTCCGGAAGAACACCGACAACTCCAACTAGAAAAATGCAAATAACTGGAAAAGAGGAAAACCAAAAAATGTGGACGTTGGCGACCATTTCCATGAATAAATGATCTGAACGGCACATTTCAGAACTGGCCATTGGGTCCACAACCGCAAGGTGTTGACAAGTGGTAATAAACATACCACCAGAGAAGAAAAAAGAAAAGAAAGCACCGACTATGTCCTAAATGACCCTCCGTTTTGCAGCCGGTTTTGAGCGTTTAACGAATATACACAGATACACAGTGTATGCGATGAAAGAACAATGGTAGCTTAGACACGAAGGGAAGACAGCGGAAAGATGAGAGAGGCGGAGATCAGCGCATTCGTCAATGGCGTTCATTACAGGGTAAAGTGACAATGGCTTTTATTCAGGGGACTGCTGAACGCGCTTTCAATGAAGTTCCCTTTCAGTTCAAAGCAGACCACTGCACTGCGTACAACCCGGATATTATACCATTTTTCTCAACAATAACCCGCAATTTAACGATAATTTCTCATATAATGACATACTTTCTGAGTCCGAAAATATAAATAACACTCCGAAACAGGGAAATTCCGGTGGTGCAACAACATGGCGGAACCTACAGTCCAAGACAGACTGATAAAAGAGCGCTGTTCAATTAGGTGGAAAGCTTTTGCTAGGTTCCACTGACATGGAAGCTTAGAACTCTTTCGAAGCAACGAAAAGGTACAATACTTAGCGAAGCACATGGAGGTTACGTTGCGAAGACCTGAAGCTCTTGTGGAGCTAAAACAGTCATACATAAACCATTTTCAGTTTCGCAAGGATTTCCACGTGTTACAACCGAAAAAAAGCAGCAAAAAAGTAGAATGCCGCTCCAGTTCTCCCCAGGTAGAACAACTTCTTTTACGGGTAGTTGGCTTTTGAAAAAGAAGTCATACAATCATAGTCGAAAATTATAGCCCTGAAAACGGTAAACTGACCTTGCAATACGTCAACAGAGCAAAGATGAACAGAAATGAATGCTCCACGGTTGTTAATTGCATAGCTGTAAAATCCACACGGAGAGCGACGTCATTTCTGAATACACCTTCTGTTACGGAAGAAGTATAGTCAAGTGAAAAACCTAGATTCATCTTACAAATCAACAGAATAATTAACAACAAAATGCTCCACGTGGAAGGTCCTTTTAAGAGAACCTTGTGACTAGGACAGAATACACAGAGATTAAAATAAACTTACTGTGAAGGTGGCCTGGATAGGAACGACACTACTCCAACTAAAGCACCGGAAAAAATAAGGAAGTTGTAGATCCATATGGGAAGAAATACAATAGCATATCCTACATTGATTTTTTGATCTAGCTTCAGCGAAAGAAGAAGAACGAAAAAGAGTAGGCAAAAATATGTCACGAATTTGCTGAAAAATAAACTATTACATGTATGATGTGAACTGAGAAGAAAACAAATCTGCTGTGGTCTATGAGATGTGCAACTCATAATTTTTGACGTGTCTATTATATGTATTGCGCTAACTGACAGCTTTGGTCTTCAGATTCTTTTCTATAAACGACAACTTTCAAACAGTTCCAAACAAAAGTTCAAATAAAGAAATCTGGAGAACGTGCTCTCCACCTTTTCTGTGAAAGACCACGAATTGCAAGGGAAGAGCTGTAGTTTGAGAACTGTTAGTTCTGAATCTAATGCTACATACTAGATAAAGAGACCAGTTTTCTTTGTGATGTGCCCTCTAGACGCTCGCTCCCAACTCAGGTCACAGTTTTTTTCGCGACAGAGTTTCAGGGTACGTGGCAGCTCCCTGGTCTGGTTTTGCCGAGCTGCACAATAACTGCAGTGATGCCAAGGCCTACTTTGATTATGATCAACGTATAAAACAGCCACTACTTGCTCTATGACTTCTTCATTTAGATTTGGCGCAATAAATCCCTTTGTACCTATACCAATTTGTACCAATAAATCCTTTAAAGTATTGTTGAAGGAACGCTTCAACTTTAGTAATTACGACTTACACATTTGGAAACATGTTTCACACAAAACCCGTTGAAATGTAGTGATTAAGGATATCAATTGAGCAAAATTGAAGGCCCAATGTGTACCGTTATTATAGATTTTTTAATGCCCCCGGTAAGATATACCGCTCGCGGGGTGATGGTGACATAATATAAAGAGAGAACTGTACGACCCAGGACTTCACACTGGTTTCATTTGTCCTTTGCGCAGTGATCCTATTCCATCGAAATACAAGACTTTCAAAAGACTTGTCAAAATCTTTTGGTATCTGTTTTTTCTATTTTGCACCACTACGTGAGAAAACCATGAACATTCATAAACTAACAAATAAATAGAAATGCTGATCTAACCAGGGAAGGTCAACAGGTCGCCATGGCCATTCAAGATGAGATGCATATCGACGTGTACGTCTCGGGACGCTGAACTCAAATCTGCTTCCAAAATTTGCCGAACGATTCTCTATGAGGAGTTAGGGGGGTGGTGGTTTTAGCATAGCACTCGCCGATCCTCCTTTGCGTAGCTCAAGTTAAGCTCGAGTACGGGCAGTCGCAAGTGTCCGTGGGTTCGATTCCTTGACACGTCCGCATTTTTGCATTTTTTCGGAACATCTTCTGCGAGTTCAGAAAATACTTTTATCCGTTATTTTGTCAAGCTTGCTCTTACTTGCAGCAGGAAAAGACTTGAGTGCCGGCATTGTGCTTCGCTTTCAAGTTCGTAATTACCCTTTACTGCCCAAATCACCCGAAATCAGGCCAGTTTTTGACCGACTTTTTTCTTCGTAAGCAGAATTGGCTGAAAAGTTGCCTACTAGGGTAGTCTGCCCTTCTGAACATGATTATCACATCCGCTCGGCACGAAACCTCCTGGCGCCCGCGTTACAGGCGCCAAAATACCCTATATCACCAAATTCGCTGAAAACTTGTCAACTGGGGTAGTTTGACCTCCTGGACACGAATATCACATCCGTACAGTCTGAAACCGCCTGACGCATACGCCACAAGCGACCCATCACATGCTTGTTCCGACTCCGGCGCGTGTAGCACAGACTCCAGTCGCTTTCGTGCGGGCTCTGTGCTAGGGCAGTTGGGCAAACTGGCCGAAGTAACGCACCACTCTTCCTGGTTGCCTGTCATAGAATCCTTCCCTTTGCTGAGGCTCAGCCTTAGCAGAGAAAGGGCCTCATCTCAGGGGAGGGTGCAGACGCAGGTTGCGCAATCACATTACCCCTTTTTCTCTATCCCAAACATTCTCAACGCCCCACACAGATGTGATGTTCGTGTTTAGGAGGTCAAACTACCCCAGTTGACAAGTTTTCAGCGAATTTGGTGATTAGGGTATTTTGGCGCCGGCGCCTGTGGCGCGGGCGCCAGGAGGTTTCGTGCCGAGCGGATGTGATAATCATGTTCAGAAGGGCAGACTACCCTAGTAGGCAACTTTTCAGCCAATTCTGCTTACGAAGAAAAAAGTCGGTCAAAAACTGGCCTGATTTCGGGTGATTTGGGCAGTAAAGGGTAAACACTGCCTAAAAGTCTTGAAAGCGAAGCACAATTGCCGGCACTCAAGTCTTTTCCTGCTACAAGTAAGAGGAAGCTTGACAAAATAACGGATAAAAGTATTTTCTGAACTCGCAGAAGATGTTCCGAAAAAATGCAAAAATGCGTTGTCAAGGAATCGAACCCATGACCTCCCATCTATGAAGCAACTTACCTATCCACTACACCATCGACCACTTGAGACTGTCTGTACTCGAACTTAACTTGAGCTACGCAAAGGAGGATCGGCGAGTGCTATGCTAAAACCACCACCCCCCTAACTCCTCATAGAGAATCGTTCGGCAAATTTTGGAAGCAGATTTGAGTTCAGCGTCCCAAGACCTACACGTCGATATGCATCTCATCTTGAATGGCCATGGCGACCTGTTGACCTTCCCTGGTGAGAGTACACTCACAAGGGAGGTCTTTCAGGTCGTGGCGCGCTTTTTGGAAATGGTTTGTTGCTTGTTGTAGGGGTCCATACAAGGATCACAAAAATGGGTTTCATTTTTGCTATGCGTTTCTGGGTAGGTCAAAAACTGAGTGAAAAGAATTTGACAAGAATGGGCGGTTTTAACAATCCTTAATGGGCTCCGTTCTGCTTGTAACTTCGAGCATGCATAGTTTATGAGGTGGTCACTAATTAGGCCTCAAAATAGATTCGATTCAAAATGTAAGTATCATGTGGTAACACACTTGGCATGCACCGACGCAAGAGTGATGTTTTTGTCAGCGCTCCCTTCACGACCACTGCCAACGGATCGGATGGCGCAGTGGATAACACGACGGGTTCTGGATGGCACGGCAAGGGGGACTTTGTGGATCGGATCCTCCTCGCGGAAAATTTTTTGCATTTTTCAGCTTTCCATTCATTCGCGTGCCTGTGTGTCTGGCAGTGGAAATAAGTCAAGTATATGCCATTTGAAGGCATATACTTGTGGCCACATTGTGGCCTGAAAGCGTGCTTGTGCTGCCCCTCGTAGCTCATGTCAGAAGGGTTATTGCAATGAAATACCATCACATTTATGTTCAGCGGGTTGGATTACCCCTGGGGACTAATTTCTAGCCAAATCTGACGTTTCGACCTAACTTGGAAAATGTGGGCCATTCTATGGACAATTAGCAGCAGGCTGGGGTCCACCCACCATGGATGACTGGTCTTGGGATGGAATTTTCTACCGGTAATCAGGAAAATGATGCAGGCGGCACGAACAAGTGAGCCAGGTATTGTTCTTTGCGAAAAGACATGACTGAAGGGTTATTTCAGTGCAAAGACCAGTCATCACCAGTATGCTAGTCGGAGTATTGGCTATCATCCAGGCGTGACCATCTCTACCCCATTTTTTCGAAGTTGAGTCAGAACCTCGGATTTCCTCAAGGTGGCGTTTCTAGGGGTTGTTTGACCCCCTGAACACGAATATGATATCTATTTCGCACGGAGAGAGCTGTGAGTCGCGCTACAGGTGCAAATTCACTGCGCCAGCCCACCCGCAAGAAGAAAAACAGTGAAGGAAAACCTCCATAACTCCGCTCAGAGAATCGTTCCGCAAATTTTGAAGGTAGTTTCGAGTTCACTGTGTCAAGACGAGTACAATGATATGCACTCACTGCAAATGGCCAGGTTGTCCTATTGGCCTTTCCTGGATGACACCTTACAAACCAGCACACTTGTGTGGAGAACCTTGTTTCCGGAAATGTTCACGTCTCGTTGCGTTGATACAGATGCAAAACTGTTGCCGCAATGAGGATCCGAACCGAGTCCCGCATTGTCGTGCCATCCAGAATCCATCGTGCTATCCGCTACGCCATCCGATCCGCCAGCAATGGTCATGAAGGGAGCGCTGACAAAAACATCACTCTTGCGTCGGTGCATGCCAAGTGTGTTACCACATGATACTTACATTTTGACTTTAATCGAATCTATTTTGAGGCCTAATTAGTGACCACCTCATAAACTATGCATGCTCGAAGTTACAAGCAGAACGGAGCCCATTAAGGTTGTTAAAACCGCCCATTCTTGTCAAATTCTTTTCACTCAGTTTTGACCTACAGAAACGCATAGCAAAAATGAAACCCATTTTTGTGATCCTTGTATGGACCCCTACAACAAGCAACAAACCATTTCCAAAAAGCGCGCCACGACCTGAAAGACCTCCCTTGTCAGTTCGCAACTTCGCAGGCACTCCATAAATTTCGTGGAGAATTAAAGAATGCATAACACTTACCATGCGTTGAATCCTCTGAAAAGAAATCCCAAACTTAATTCAAACATGAGTGTCGAGTTCGGATGAGACCTGAAATGCACCGTAATCATTCTCGATAAATGCCCGCAAGAATAGAGAAATGGAGGTTTGATAGAAGACTGGGTCGGATACCGTCTATTTCCAACACCTCATGTGAAGCACGGCACCTCCTACTTCCTTCCCATACCACCCACTTAGAGTATTTAAAGAGCAATTTTTCTCGAGAAGTAAACCGAATATGCCGATACGAAAGAAAAACAACGTTCTTTAAGTGTTAGTTTATCGGTCTTCATCAGCGTTCACTCATCTAGCCACACTCGATAACGCAATAGACTCACCTTACGGATTCTTTTTAAACGGTATATGTTCTGTGGAAGGAAGCAGCCACACTTCAATAAAGTTGTATCTAAAATCGGACGGCTCCGCGAGCGAGATACCTGCAAAAAGAAACCATATATGAAGAGGGACGATGAAATTGTGATCGAGACTAAGATGAAGCAGCTGAAAAATTCAGTTTCCAGTTCCTACACCCACTTCGCTCGTCTAAGTGTATCGTTACTGAAGGTTTCCTGCCTGTTACAATTACTCTATATAGAGTCGACAAATAGCGCCCGTGCCATGCTGAAAACGTTTAGGGCGCGGTATGGATGTTGCGAACCCCCCGTTGCATACCTGTTTCGCCGCGACTGGGAAG